GGACTCGGACCGTACCTTTGAAACACAAACTGTTGTCTTCTTAGATAGATGATCTATAGATAAACACCTATAAAACCAAATATCTCCACGGTCAGTGATTCAGACAAATACCAATGACTGATAATGTGGTCGTTCGTGGGCGGCTTGCCTTGCTCCTAAGATACAGTCAGTAGAATATGGCTCGCACAAAAAGTCAGTAGTCAGCGATCAGCAGTCAACAGTCAATCCAACAATATGGATATGAAACACAGCAATGAGAGAGAGAAAAAACACAGAACTTGGTCAGTCAGCGATCGACAACAACAACAACAATCACAACAACACAGACAACAACAAAACAAATCAGGAAACACAGTCACTCTAACAATATAGAGATGACACAAAACAAACAGACACTCTTCCTAACACTTCACACAGCAACAAAAATTCATACACAAACTTAGTGCAGCAAGTTGTGCGGAGCTACAATGAGAGTCCCCCTCAATACAAAAACAGGTGAAACTACCGTCAGGCCTAGTCAAGCCTTTGTAGCACTCTTAGCCTAATATTGAACCTGCTGCCAAGGAACTCACAATGAGTATTAAACAGACTCAGGAACGGGCGACCTTGGACTTCAATACCAAGTTCCCTTTTCAATAGCTAAAGTCTAACTCGCAAATGACTACCCTCGATCAGTATAACACACAGATGTAAGAGGTCAGGTATCACTGTCAACACCTAAAGTCTCCCCACTAGACTATCAGAGTCTTCCGTGGACAAAAGAGACAACACCAAACTTCTGGGTAAGAATGAGACTGAAACTTTGGTACTTGAGAGAAAGTTGATAGGTTGAGTCAATCAACAAAACGAGACCGCTACAACAAAAAAAACACAAACACAATCACAATCACAATCACGGAGACTGTTAGCAACAATGATCACAAAGCAAACAGACAGCGATCAGAGAGATGGTCAGTATAGACAGTCACCAACACACCACACACTTGAGACAGAGAGAGAGAAACAGAGAAACAAAGAAACAGAGAGAGAAACAGAGAACACGAGCTTCAGTCACGAATCTCAGACACGATCTCAGAGAGAGAAAAAAGAAAAAAAAAGACTAGTCTTGCTAGTCGTCAGACACAGCGAGCTCAAGGTATGTGCTAGATGTTCAACACAATGAGCTCAGAAGTATTGTGCTGGTTGTTGAGCACAGTGAGCTCCAACCTTGAACTGCACTTGCTGGTTGCCGATTCACACTTCACTCACAATTTTATTCTGAGAGGTAAAAACAGTGGGGAACTGCTTGTTTTATTGGGCAAAAAGCTGGTCCTTATATAGACAAATTTGGTGGCTATACTACTAGTTTCTCGTACTTAAAGTTGTAACTTTAGTTCAATAGCACCAAGTCACACGGTATCTTTGAGTCAAAAGTAAATATTCATAACTCTAGTTGGTATAATGATGAGTCAGCAAGAGCTGCATATGGCTCATGGGTCAGGTGACCCTTGATGACTCAGCTAGACAAGAGTGAGAAATGATTACATATTGTGTACATATGTTTATAAAATCTGTGGCTGATGAATTGACTGGTAGCATAATGACATAGGACGCGTGTTTAGCGATTTGTAAGCTTTTCCACAGGGTAACCTTATGCAAACATATTTTTCACAGTCACCTGATATGTGTGAGAATCTGTCTGAGTCACCCTCATGGCTGACTAAGCAAAACTCATCGCAGGAATAAATGTACAAAAATATTCAATCCGCTTGCGTACAAACTTGTAAAAGTGAAAAAAAGCGAAAAATATTCCCTTAGCCTCAGTCTGACTTCAGGTCACAGGGAAAATGATTTCATAGTGATTTCTAGGGCATAGGGGCTCATAGGAGAGTATTGGTCATCCATGCACCGAACCAGTTTGGTGCAGGTCACCGTTATTAGAGATGAGGTTTCCCTTGCAATCTTGTGTGAGACAGCACCGATCTTGAAATGCCTCGCAAGGCTGCCGCGAGGTTAAAACAGTCTAGTAAGGCCTTGTGAGACGAGTATGCGTACCTTGCCGTGATGACGAACAAATACAATCAAGCCTCGGAGCGCATCATGTGACCGTGGGAGACTCTCCGGACCTTGCCGGACCTCGTTAGATTTGGGCACTTTTGCTGATGAAGTTGTTGATAGCTGATAGCAGATAATAGCAAGTGATAGCAATATGTAGTAGGTCATAGCAAGTTGGTGATAAGTAATAGCAAGTAGCAGTAATATAATAGCAGATGATAGCAATATGATAGCAGGTGATAGCAAGTTAGTAACAACTGATAGCAAGTGATAGCAATATGATTGCAGATAAGGTGATAGCAAGTTAGTAACTACTGATAGCAGATGATGGCAAGTTGGCAACAAGTGATAGCAAGATGATAGCAAGGGTCAGTGGCAACTGATAGTGAGTGATAGCGAGTTGGTGACAAGTGATGGTAATATGATAGTAGTGATAGCAGGTAGTAGGTAATAGCAAATTGGTGACAGCTGATAGCAGGTGATAGCAGATGATAGCAGGTTATAGCAAGTAAACAACAAATGATATCAATACAATCGCAGATGATAGCAAGTGGATAACAAGTGATAGCAATATAATGGTAAATAACAGCAGATAATAGCAAGTGACAGCAATATGATAGTAGGTAATAGGAAGTGATATTAATAGCAAGTTGGCAGCAAGTGATGGTAATATGATGGCAGATGATAGCAGGTGATAGCAAGTTGCAGTAAGTGATAGCAATGTGATAGCAGATGATAGCAGATGATAGCAGGTAATAGCAAGGTGGTAACAAGTGATAGCAGTTGATAGGAAGTTGGTAATAAGTGATAGCAGGTGATAGTAATCTGGTAGCAAGTGATAGCAATATGATAGCAGATGATAGCAGGGGATAGCAAGTTGGTAATGAGCGATAGCAGATGATAGCAAGTTGGTAGCAAGTTGTGGCAAGTGATAGCAATGTGATAGCAGATGATAGCAAGTTAGTAACAAGTGATAGCAGTTGATAGCAGTTGATAGCAAGTTGGTAGCAGGTGATAGCAAGTTGGTAACAAGCGATAGCAGATAATAGCAAGTTGGTAGCAATGTGATAGCAGATGATAGCAAGGTGATAACAAGCGATAGCAGTTGATAGCAAGTTGGTAATAAGTAATAGCAGGTGATAGCAATATGATAGCAGATGATAGCAGGGAATAGCAAGTTGGTAACAAGCGATAGCAGATGATAGCAAGTTGTGGCAAGTGATAGCAATGTGATAGCAGATGATAGCAAGTTGGTAACAAGTGATAGCAGTTGATAGCAGATGATAGCAGGTTTTAATGTGCGCATATGCGCAAGCACACATGCGCATGCCTGAAGACAGGCTCATAAATGGATCGAAACTCAATGGTTTTTGAATGTGAGACCACCGGGGGGTCCATGAGAAGGGAGAGCATGAGTCACGTCAGGATGGCGGAGGGACAGGAACCGGAAACGAAAGGCGGAAAAAGACAGGGGCTCGCGGGATGCCCCCATACTACTCGTGACATATATTTAGGCCAAAAAAGAAGGTTGTTCAGCGTCGTGAGTGCATATGCCCGACCCCTATTTGTCTGTTCGATCGATCATCTTCTGCAGGTAGCAAGATAAATACAGGCATTCCACCTAACGAATCATCTCTAAACATCCGGAATAAAAATTCACCTCTCATTCGTGCAACAGCCAGCCCAATACCGGATCATTTTCAAACAAAACCTGATGGTCAGCATAGCGAGGGGATCAATCGAAAATTTACAACTATAATATGCGACGATGAAGGGCAGGGAGGGTGTCTTGAGGGTGAAGAGTGGGATGAAAGCGATATCATGCAACAAATTGTAACATCTGGCATCCTGGATTGGGACCCAAATGTGTCATCGGCTGCAAAGCATAACACAGATGATGGATTAAATGCAGATCGAGAGCTAATTGCAAGGTGGTTAGAAATATATGATGAAGGCCTAACTCGAGTGAGGGATCATTCAAAGGAAAATAGGCCAAGGCGTCCACGTGGACGACCAGCGAGGAAGACAAGAACAAACCGTGAGTGACTATATTTAACTTCTACATGAAACCAAAAGGCGATTTGAACAGGAAATAAAGTCAGGAAAATCGTGCCTGAGGACAAGATTTCATCAGTACAGGATATGCAGAATGTTCATTCTAAATACCTAATACGGGCTACCAGCAACCCAGTGTATGACGACCAGCAGGTGAGGACATATGTGAGACATCGAGAGAGTAATATTGATGGGTTACTCAGACGGATCAAATAACAATGAATGAAAATGGCATGGGAGAAGAATTCATAAATGCCAATGATGATATCCCATCCATGAAGGAAGGTGCATTCAGGAAACCTCCTACTAGGCGACAACGAGGACGTCCAAAAAAAAGAATTGGGAATTCCAGAGCAACCAGTAAGTCATTTTTCTAACTCCCTATGAAAGACAAGTGTCATTGACATTTGATGTACAGAGTCCACGCATGAGATTATGCATGAGCCATCCTCGATTTCTCGTGAATTGGAATATAGAGAATATCAATCACTCCAAGAAACGAGTCGCTGTAAGCACAACTCATCATCCATCTGCTACTTCAGCCAGATGTGAATTTTTTCGATTAGGGACTCCAGCACCATCAGCAGGAAGAGCGGTAGATGATGAATACAGGCCTTCCCCATCACTCCGAGCTACCATACGGTCACCATCAGTTGAGGTTGAATCACATACAATAGCTGAACTGACAATAGAGGAAATTACTTGTGAGTTTAGAATCATAATCATACTGATATAACAGAAAATCCTAATAGTAATTATTCTCAATCCCAGCTCGTGCTATGGCCCAACCGTTGTTCTGGACGTCTGTCTGGAACAATTGGGGTACCCTCGGGTTAGACCAGTGGCTTGATGCCACAGTGGCTAATTTCTATTTGGCCCATGTGTGGTATGAGATGCATGATACATCACGCATGAGATATGTCGACCTGTATACAGTGAAGGTGAACGACATCACACCTGAAGAAAAGGCGCTCTTCAAGAGGAACTATTTCCTCCCTCGCGAAGGAAGATGTCCGATGGTCCCAGTTGGATTCATAGTGCATCATTCTGAACATTTTTTCGTGGTCATATTTGACTATGAGCGACGAAGAGCTCACATACTGGGTCGCCATATCTCCGAAGATGCGATGAATGTTGATGGAGTGGATCCTCATGACTGGGATGATTGGGGTGGACCGGAATATTGGAGGAGAGTTGGAGAACTTCATGACTGGAGCCCAGGGGATATTTCTGGCGTGTCTGTGATCACCAAGGATTGGGTGCAGAATGGACTGGACTGTGGGCCGATTGCGTGCTCCGTCCTTGAGCAATGTCTGGCCTCAGGAATAGATGAAGATGGTCACTTGCCAGGGTTTGAAGTTCTGTGCGGTCATTTGTTGCGCATGAAAATCCTGTGCATCATTGCTGGTCGCGTCAAGATAAGCTGCAGTGACTATCTAATGCTCTTGGACAGCTCACGAGATGATTGGAGAGAGGATGAGTTGCCCGATGAAGATCTGATAAATGACATCCAGAATGGAAGGCACCAGGCCAAATGCCTACAGCTCTTGCGGAGACTGACTGTTGTCAGTGCGACCTGCACAACTTGTCAACATTCGATAATTGGCAGGGATGTTGAACACACATCACAATATGGTAGAGATGGAGATGGAGCCATAGAGGATGAGGATGGGGTGGAAGACATGTTAAGTGATGATGAAGATGCACTAGTAATGACGTTGCCAGCAGGGAGAAAGGAAACCATCGCGAAGCTCATAAAAGCGAATACCCAACTGACTGGATCTCGAGATCGCAATGCCATAGTACCTCGGTCTATTGGGATGCACCTTCAACTAGAACCACAGGTTCCATCTGATCTCGATGGTACAACAGACTCTCAACGATCCACATTTGCATCTGCAACTCGTAGGAAGGTGCAAAATTGGAATCTTGGAAGCACCAAGCGATTTCCGCGTCCGATCGCTCCATGCCCATTAGATGCATATACTGGGAGAAGGTGGCTTCAGGATGACCGCAAATTTGACGACTATGAAGATGGACCAACAATTGAGATGTTGTCAACTTCCAGGGATGTTACTCACACGACGACAGTTCAGACTGGAGGATTGCAGCTCTCTACCTCTTGGGCGGACTGGGTTGATCATGGGTACCGCATTACTCCAGGGTCATTCCATATATTCTATCAATGTGATCCTATAGCTACCATGGACCACATCATGTCCATTGGTACAACAGACTCTTACGATGCTGCGAAGCAGGTTCCTGATCGTGTCACTGGTGCATACAGCCTCGCCAGGCGAGGGGCAGATGAAGAACAAGGCCAGGAAACGGAGATCACAGATGTGGAAATAGTATCTGCTTCTGAACTTATCGACTGTGCCCAATACGACCCACCACTACATGATGCATGTAGGTTTGGACACAACTCCTTCATTCGTGGACGCACCAATGTTCATGATGATAATCCTCCTTGCCTGTATGTCGACTTGGAACAGGATGCAGTACAATTTTCCGAAGATGAGATAGAGATATCGGTGGACATTGACAGCATCATTTGGACGACAAAGGTATTTCGATGCAAGGGGTCTGTTGGGATATATATCACTCCACCATTCCAAACGAAACCCGGCATATTCAAGCACAATCACACTTATGTCGACATTATCATCCCTCAGTCAGAGGAAGATGCCAGCGCACCTGGTGGGAGAACAGAATGGTTGTCGAAGAGATTTCCGATGTCTGCCATCCCTCATGCATGTATTGGGCGCATATCATCTGCTTCCTCGACACTCAATCTGTATATCGCATTTCCAAGGATGATCCATAGAAATAATGTCAATGGTCGAAGAATCACGCTGATACCCAAAGAGGTCTTGGACATTTTCTGGGATAGAGTGCTCCTTCCATCCATAGGGAATTCCACGGACATCAGCTGGGCTCCATACCTCAAGCACACATTGGAGGAGGCACGCTACAAGGCACGAGGTAGAAATGGAGGAAAGGGTCGATGGGGATCTCCTAAGACTATTCCTCTGTCAGATGATGACTTCAGGGATGTGCAACGACAGATGGAAGATTGTATACGCAATGGAGAGGGTGAGCTCAGCATGTATGGGTCATTCTTCTTCATTCTTGAGGGGAAGGGAATCAAATTGCTCACAAAGGATGGCCAAAGGGGGCGATTCTTAGGACCTGAAGAGGCATTATGTCGCAATTTATCTGACCTTGATTGGCCGTATATGATGAACAGGAAGCATGGAGAACTGCTAGTAGATGTGGGGATCTCATTCACACCGCACTCTACAGATATTCCAGTCGTAGGAGTATGGAGATTGGATGCGTTGGAAGCATCATTTGGGGCAGGAGGATTCAAGAGAGGGGAGATACATCATCACAACACACTCTCGAGATATGGGGCATTGCAGGCAGAGATGCAGCAGGAGAGATCCCAGCAGACGCACATCGCATTCAGGAGCACCTACAACCTATACTACGAGTCGATCAGGACGAACAGCAACCAAGCTAACTTTGCATCAGACAGCGATGCCTACAAGCTCTCTCCATCATATATGGCTGAATGCTTTGAAATTGCGAAGGTCCTGGATGGTTGCAAGGAGAAGACATATGGTGTCAGGGACGAGTATAGAGTCAGTGGACATGCAGCCAGAATAATACTGGACAATATAGACATCAAGGTCAGTGATCTGCACTTTATTTATGATTTCATTGTTCATGGAGTGAATTGGGTGATGATTTCTATGTAGGCTAGGGAATATTTGCGATCAGATCCAGTCCTGTGGATTCCATCCAAGATCTGGTTCGAGCATATCAGGCGACGTGTGCGGGAGATTCAGAGGACCCAAATATCCATTGTGAAAAAGAATCCTCCAAATCTTGGCATCCTCACTGGTGTGCTTAACCACATGCTTCGCTCGACGACATCAACCCCTATCATCTATGATTCTCATGTACGTGAATCCCTCGCCCTTCTTGAATATAGGAATGTCCTGGAGACAGCAGGGATGTTTTTCCTACACGACTTCGACCTGGGAAGCGAGACATGCTTGGAAGAGGTGCAGCAAATCGATGATGTCAACGTGCTAGCCCTTATGGGTGCAAATGCAAAGGCTCGAAGGAATAAAGCAGTGGAAAGGATGGATTCATGGAAGGATGCAGGATCGGAACTGCAGGACTATCCCATTGGTCGTACACCAACATGGACTCGACTCAAGGCAGCAATTTCAAGCTCAACTGCAATGATAATGAGACCATGGTCATGGTCGCCCAAGTTGTCCCACATTCAACTATCTGTTGGACGTCTGATTGTCATGTTCACCAGGCAAACATGGCTCATGCTGACGGATGATGTCCTCAAAGGAATTAGGCCCTATCCTAACTCTCTTAAGGATGCGATGAAGTGCTGGACCACAACCAGCATCGATGACACTCTTGCATCAGTGGCCTTTGAAGCAATCAATGCTGGACTGCAGGACCATACAGGTGTAACTCCAGGTCGCATGGGTCCTAGATCAAGAGCATTTGCGAACCGGTCCTTGATATTCTTTCCTGACCCTGAAGCCTCCTATAAGCATCACACTCAGTGGTCATGGCTGTGGGATGGAGATGGATACATCGCAGAGTTTCACAGGATGATGAAGACAATGGATTGCGATCAGCAGGAAACACTCAAGCAAGGTTTGCGCGACATATTTTCAGAACTTCACTGTCTTCCTGCGAGTGGTGCAAGGGTGTGGACACAAAAAAATGATGCAATAGTGTTCTCTACAAATCCTGCATTTTACAGGATCGACTGCGTTGGGAGGGCAGGCGAGAGTCAGAGGAAGGTGACAAGAGCACGTCGCACAACGAAGCTGATCAAAGGAAAACGCATATTTGCAGCTGACCTGATGGATTCCCAACCATTTGATGCTGATGGGAATCTCAGGAGAAAGACGGAGAGGCAGAAGCGTCGAGAGATTCAAAAGAAAATGACCATTACAAGGAAAAACAAACGAGTACCCCCACCACCACGTCCTCGCATTTCCAGACCATTTCCCTTGGATGTACAAGAAGCTTTAGACGATGATGTTGCCATGGACATTGATTAGTATATAGATACAATGTGAAATATATTAGTGCCACTGCTGTTTGCATTTGACATTATTGAACATGTTGAATATATTTGAAAGATATGGTCTATTAAAAATCAAGTCGAAAATTTGAAAAAAAAGCAGGAAGCTCCCACTAAGATAGGAAGAGGTTTTTGTTGAATTGGATTGTCGAATTTAAATCCAGACAGATACTGAGAGAGATCAGTCATTTGGTGACAGCCTTTTATTGTTGAAGTGAGAGCTCCAGCACTGACATGATACAAAAGTGACCAGGCTCATTATTTGCTGGACAATTGGGTCGCACAGATGGTCGTCTTAAAGAGATAGATAAGTTGTGCCTTGTCCTCCGCCCCCCTACCTAGTGCATCAAGCAATGATCAAATTTTCAGCCTTCATAAGACTTTCTTTGCCTCACAAAGAACTAAAGATAAAAATCCATGAACTAATGTTCTTGAATACCAAATTTACTGATGAGCAGCAAATTAGCTTTCAAGAACATCGACTTCATAGACAAATAATGACAGGACCATGATTAGAACCTAGGCCATCTGAGCTCTGATATGGACATCTTTACCACTAGACTAACCAACTATGCAGTGAAAAGATCCAATTGTATCATTATTCAAATATTTGACTACCCAAGTCATGCTATGACCGCATGTTGCTTATGTAAGCAGTGTCACCCCTCACTCAATGATTGATTTTTTCGGCCTCCATTAGACTTGCTTGGCTTCAAATAGAGTTGTCACTCGAGGTATTTGAGCCCTATGAATGCGATGGTAATACTTTTTTTGTTCCAAAAAATCATGTTCAAAAGTCATGGATGTCTGTAATGCTGAGGTCCCCAACCTAAGGTCGATTGTTTCAGGCCATATGACTCGCATGGCTTGATCTCAGGCTCATCACAATGATAGTTGATCCATATATATCATATTCAGCAGCAACAGAAATTTGATAAGTCAAAGTATTGTTCTAAATTTGCCCAGGTCCACCGCTTTTGCTTATGTAAGCAGTATCACCCCTGTCATGCTGCCTCACCCAATGATTGATTTTTTCAGCCTCCATTTGACTTGCCTGGCTTCGAATAGAACTTGATTAAGAGGTTATTGACCAATCTGAATCTGATGGCAATGCTTATTTCATCCGAAAAAATCATGTTTCAGAGTCATGGTATTCCCTCCCCCCACCTACTCTACCAAGAAGCATGATTTTATGTCAATACAGATGTGCTAAGGGATGTTCCTAGTGTTTAATGATGATACAAATAGATTAGAGATGGATTCAGAGTGTTCTGAACCAATATAGAATGTTATGTGTGAGTTTGCCTGGTACCCCCCCTCAAAGATCGATTTTTCTAGGCTTCACATGACTTGTCAGCACTTCAAAAGTATTCTTCCTGGGGGTTCTTGATGCTTCCGAACACGATGGTAAAGCCAGATTTGTCAGAAAAAATCAGATTGTTGAGATATGTAGGGTCCCCCTCCCCCCTCCTAACTTATATATCTTGGTATCATGTAAATACCGGTATATAAATGAGTGTTCCTACTGTTTTAAGATCATCTAAATCGATTGGAAATGGTCCCAGAGTGTTTTGGGCCCATCCTGATTAAGATGTGCAAGTTTTCATGGTACCCTCCTCAAAGATCGATTTTTCTAGGCTTCCCATGACTTGCTTGTGCTCTAGGAGTATTTTTCCGGGGTGCTCTTGATGTCCCTGAACAAGATGGTGAAGCCCAATATGTCAGGAAAAATCAGGTTGTTGAGATACATAAGGTCCTCCTCCCCCCTCCTACCCCATATATTTTATAACACTCAAATTTCACTCAAAACCGATACTTAAAATGGTTGTCCCAGTGTTTTTAAAGCATAGAAATCGATTGGTGATGGTCCCAGGGTCTCTGGAGGTCAGCATTGTTGACCTTGGCTGGAGGGATGAAAAACTCAGTATTTTGACATTATCTCCAGATCCCAACCGCCGTTTTCTTTCGTTCCAGGCTCATATTAATCCTTGGGCATCTCTCTAAAATATGTACCAGCCCAAGAAGAGAAAAAAATTTCAAACTTTGAAACCTATTTCTGTTTTGACCATATAAATGATGTGAAAAGGATGTTCCCAGTATTTAAGGATCATATTAATAGATTGGAGATGGCTTCATAGTGTTCTGAACCAATATGGAATGTGATGTGCAAGTTTGCCTGATACCCCCCTCAAAGATCGATTTTTCTAGGCTTCCCATGTCTTGCTAGGACTCCACAAGTATGTTTCCTGGGGGTTCTTGATGCCTCTGAACACGATGGTAAAGCTAGTTGTGTCAGGAAAAATCAAGCTGTTGAGATATGCAGGGTCCCCCTCCCCCCCCAAACTCATATATCTTGATATTATGTAAATACCGGTATATAGAAGGATGTTCCTACTGTTTTATGATCATATAAATCGATTGAAGATGGTTCAAGAGTGTTTTGAATCCATCCTGAGACAAATATGGAAGTTTTCCTGGTACCCCCCCCAAAGATCGATTTTTACAGGCTTCCCATATCTTGCCAGGACTACAAAAGTATTTTTCCTGAGAGTTCTTGATGCCTCTGAACACGATGGTAAAGCTAGTTTTGTCAGGAAAAATCAGGTTGTTGAGATATGCAGGGTCCCCCTCCCCCCCCAAACTCATATATCTTGATATTATGTAAATACCGGTATATAAAGAGATGTTCCTACTGTTTTATTATCATATAAATCGATTGGAAATGGTCCCAGAGTGATTTGAGTCCATCCTAATTAACATATGGGTGTTTTCCTGATACCCCCCTCAAAGATCGATTTTTCTAGGCTTCCCATGACTTGCTTGTCCTCTAAAAGTATTTTTCCGGAGTGCTCTTGATGTCCCTAAACACGATGGTCAAGCCCGTTTTGTCAGGAAAAATCAGGTTGTTGAGATATAGAAGGTCCTCCTCCCCCCTCCTACCTCATATATCTGACTATGGTCACTTTTAGCTCAAAACCGATACTGTAAATAATGGTCCTGGTGCTTTTAAGACGTAGAAATCGATTGGTGATGGTCCCAGGGTCTCTGGAGGTCGAAAATATTGAGTTTGGTCACAGGTATGAAAAAGTCAGTATTTGGACTTTATCTCCACATCCCAACCGCCGTTTTCTTTCATTCCGGGCTCATATTGATCCTTGGGAATCCCTCTAACATATGTACCAGCCCAAGAAGAGAAAAAAGTTTTGAACTTTGTAACCTATTTCTGTTTTGACCATATAAATGTCGTATGCAATCCATAGTAATGAAAATCAAAGTTTACATGCATTTTCTTTGTCTATGGTCGTAAGGTTCGAAATAGAAATTCCTTGGGGATAAGCGAAATGAATGAGAGGGTGCATCTACACCTTGCAATTTTTTATTGGTTCGGAAGCAATATTAAATGCAGCGTTTGAACCAGGAGGTGTAGGCGTTTCAAACACGATGGATTGAATCAAAAAACCTTATCTTTTAATTCATTGGGAAGAATGATATATGTCTAAAGGAAGATACTGCAGACTTTGAACGAGCAGGTGTACACCGCTAAGAATCAATCAATCACATCAACACATATTGTATTCACAGTGATGTAGAATAAAAATTCACGTCTAACGGAAGGTACTGCAGATATTGAACCAGCGGATGTATCAGAAATAATGAATTGAATCAACAGATATTGTATTTATATTCACGACTGAAGGTACTGCAGATATTGAATCAGCGGATGTAAGGGTTTCAGAAATAATGAATTGAATCAACAGATATTGTATTTATATTCACAACTGAAGGAACTAAACCACCATGCGTCCACAAACCGGGCAGTAGTATCGTTGAACAAGCTCATGGACCGTTGAGACCACGTTTGAGTGCAAGCCGTCTTTCCACCCAGCTGGAAGTTGTCCGAGAGCCATCGCCTGATCCAGAAGTGTTTTTATCTGTATTAAAATCATACCATTTCCGACTACTCCGCAATGTCCCCCTCGTCGAATAGGCATCGTTAAAAGTGGACCAAAATCTGCGTCGATTTGCACAGCATCATAATCAGATGGCAGACGCGCCTTCCACTTCCTATTCATCTTCCTAGCAACGGATTCCAAGCAAGTCTCATTGAACCACTTTCGACATGCCCTGCAGTAACGTTGTAGGTTATTCGGGGAGGAATACGACAGATTGCACGAATTACAACTGCAGTACGTCGATACTTGAGAGTTCTATGAATTGGATGATGACTAACCCCCTAACTGAAATGAATAAAAATATGCCTACATTGATATTGACACCTTTGAGGTGCAAAACGTCCCTGCGCGTTACGAATTGCATGGATATATTCCACCGATGATACAATTTCTCCACTGGTATTTGAGCTTGCGCCAAATTACCCTCATCATATGGAATGATTCTCGCGTGATCTGGAAATGTGTCAAGTTGTAGGGCCATTATGCATCACAAAGAACATACCTTCAATACAATTCATATCCACAATGGACTTGTGGTCACTCAGTACAAGCTCATATTCACCAACAAACGCAGCGAGGCTGAAACAATATATATTTTAAATTCATGTTTGCCCTCATCAAAGGATATGCGTACTCGATGCTTTGATCTTCAAGGTCGACGCGCCTATAATACCATTGAATATCAAGCCACACATCCTTTGAAATACAGTCTGATTAAACCGATTCAACTGGGATGAAAAATATGGTTACCTGTTTGTGTTTCACATTATTCAAATAAATCGCCTGAACCTTCCCATACCAGTATGACATCATAGGGAGACTTCCATCCTTCGTTGGTACCGACCGTTCATCGAGTGGAAAGATTGTGACACTTGAGTATGCATGTCAGTATTTGAAGGGGAAGATACGGAGGTCGTCATACTCATCTCCTTCCCTAATCACCAATTTACAATACTCCACAGAGCTATTTGAGTCATCACCGGCATCATAGACCCCTGTAATTGAAACATTGATCCAATGTATTTGTTAGTGAGCAGGTAAAAACAGTTACTAGGCTGACATACATTCCAATGACGTGCATCGCCTGAGTGTATGTAGTTTAGGGTGACTGTTTCGCATAGGAGGCAACGTTCTCCTGCCTTCTGCATGAGATGAATGACTTATGACTGATGGTCGGATAGACATGGAGGTCGAAATGATAGGTTTGCAATGAAAAATGATAGGTAAAGCAACAGAAGACCAGAGTCGCCTTGAGTCGGATAAATGGTCCATTCCATGCAAATAATCATAAGATCCGGGCGGATCGGGAAATAAGGTAGATACAATGCCATCAAAATCATGTGACACTAATATGTAATGTAATGTATTCATATGGATCTAGTGGAATGTAATCTTAAGGTCCGAGTTACAGGGAGCCGAAGAAGGGAACAAATCGAAAAATATATAGCCTGAGACAGGTACAATGAGTTAATGGCATATATCACGTTAACAGGACAATACTAGGACTTCAGTACAGCGAGCGCTTACAGTCTGATGGAGCAAGACGATTCTATTGACATTATGCAGGAAATCCTGAAGTCCAAGATCCTTGATTGGCACCCACGGAGTTCGAATATCATGGAGATTCCTGGATGGAAAGACAAAAATACATTCGATGACGGATGGAATAGTGATGATGATGATGGAGGACTATTGGCAGCCATACGTAACTGCAGCATTGTGCATGAAGAAGGTCCGCAGATCGCAACAAGTAAGAGGGGACGGGGAAGGCCAAGAAAACGAGTAATACAGCGTCGTGCGTACATGTGCATGACCTCTATTTATATGAAGATAATGTTTGCTTGCAGGTAGCAAAAATAAGCCACCAGTTGCACCCATTGTGAGGGACTCATCAACTCAGAACATCGAGAATGCGGGTAGAACATATATCATTCATGCTACCACTAGTCCAGTACCACCTAATCATTCGCCATCACAAGTGAATGTTGTACGTTATCTTCCAATTGATTAAACAATGATTAACATGTGTAATACATTTTAGCAGAATAGCGTTCAAGAGAATGATACAAAAATGGATATACTACAGCAAATAATCGACTCTGGAATCATGGATTGGAATCCTCAGGTGTCGTGGACGGCAAAGGCCACAGCATACAATGGCATGCCACAAATAGTCAATCATGTAGAGGAACAGTCAACAGTGATGAAGGGCAGCAAAGCAGATGATCAGGAAGGTTATAATAGAAGGAATAAGCCACCTCGACCACGCGGACGGCCAGTCAAGAAAGTGATCACACGGCGTCAGTACCTGGTCTTAACCGTGATTTTTTCGACTGAAATGACACTTCATTACAGGAAAAAAACACAAGACACAAATGGTCATGAATACTGATACGGTTAGACCCATAATACGTGCCACAAGTAACCCTTGTCAGCAAGAATCTCCAGCAAGTGTAGTCAGAATTTTATCTGACAGGCGCATCAAGCGTCCACAAGTCATTGGTTTGTGATCCAACACTCTTTATCAAACATCATATAACAAATTTAAATGTCAGCATCTAAGATAAATCAGATGGACAAAGTGATATCAAGTGTTGCTGAAGCGCACGATGAGGATGATGATGAGAACAACGAGGAAAATCAATGTAAGTTTTAGCTGTGATGTTTTGTTGGATGTGTTAGAGTATTAAATATTTACTAATTGATTTTATCAGGGAGTCGAGCACCATCTGAGACATCACCCAAGAGAGCAACACCTGATGATAAATATAGACCACCGCCATCACAGCAAGCTGAGCTACGATCACCATCAATCGATGGACAAAAGACCATAATGGTTGCATCGACGGATGAGGAAATAGCATGTGAGTTCGCGTTGATGTGTGGGTAAATGTATACACCAATCTAACTCAATCACAGCTCGTGCAATGGCCCGACCAATTGTCTGGACGTCTGCATGGCATAACTGGAAAACACTCGCACCAAATGAATGGATTGATGCGACAGTAGCAAACTTTTATTTGTCCAATGTGTGGTATGAGATGCTGGGCAGGTCTTCCATGAGATACGTGGACTTTTATGCAGCCATGGTGGATGAGATGGTGGATGAAGAACTGGAGCTCTTCAGGAGGAATCATTTCTTGCCTCAGGGAGGCATATGTCCTGTGGTCCCTGTCGGATTGATAGTCCATCATTCCGATCACTTCTTTGCAGTCATTTTCGACTATCGTCGACGCACAGCGCATGTCTTGGGTCGCCGTATTTCCGACTCGGTAATGGACATCGATGGAGTGGATTTACACGACTGGAATGATTGGAGTGGGCCACAATACTGGAGGAGAATTGGATCGCTTCATGGCTGGAGTACAGGGGATGTCAGCGATGTGTCCGTGATAAGCAAGGACTGGATGCAAAATGGCGTGGACTGTGGTCCTATCGCTTGCTCCGTGCTTGAACAATGCCTCACCTCAGGATTAGATGAGCATGGCAACCTGCCAGGGTTTGAAGTCCAATGCGGCCACATACTGCGAATCACAATGTTGCATAAGATCGCCGGGCGCATCAAACTCAGCTGCAGCGACTATCTGATTCTCCTGGACGGTCCACAAGATTATTGGAGAGAGGATGATGTGCCAGATGAAGATGTTATTTCTGCGATTCAAAATGGGCGGCACCAGGCTGAGTGCCTCGAGCTCATGCGTAAATTGACTATCTTGAGCGCCACTTGCTCGATGTGTCAACGTCCCATTCTACATCAGGATGATGAAAGCCCCTTCCAAAACGAGGATAACGGAGATATGAACCAAGTCGATCAGGATGTTGTAGATGCTGAATGGAGTGAAGGCGAGGATACACTCGGCATTTCGCTTCCTGCAGGCAGGAAGGTGCATCTTGCAAAGTTGTTGAAAGCAAACAAACAACTAGCAGGATCCCGGAACCGCAATTCAATAGTCCCTCGCTCTGTTGGAACACACCTCGAATTGGAACCAGAGATACTACCTGACATGCATGATGCAGGCGACTCGCAACGCTCTAAATCTGCCTTAGCATCTCGGAGGCGAGTGAAAAACTTGAATCTAGGAAGCAACAAACGATTTCCACGTCCAATTCCACCACTTCCCCTTGGTGCATATTCAGGTAGGAGGTGGCTCAAGGACGACCTCGCATTCGACGATTATGAAGGTGGGCCTACAATCGAGATGTTGATAAGACCCAGGGACGTAAATAACACTATGACATTGTGTGCTGGGGAAATCCAACTTTCTACTGCCTGGGTGTATTGGGTCGACCATGGATATCGCATCACGCCTAGCTCATTCCATATATTCTATCAATGCGACCCCACGGCCACCATGGACCACATCATGCCTATTGGAACGACCAGCTCATATGATGCTTCAAATCAGATTCCAGATCGAGTGACGGGTGCATACAGCCTTGCACGCCTCAGACCATCTCCAGAAGCACAGCACGTGCATATTACAGATGTGGAAATACTCTCTGCTTCGGAACTCATTGATTCCGCGCAATACGACCCCCCTCTGCATGAAGAATGTAGGTTCGGACACAATGCTTTTGTCCGTGGCCACACCAGTCATCGATACGGTGATGGTGCTGCATTATACGTCGACCTGGAAAGAGATTCAATCACATTTTCAGAGGATGAGATAGAGACCTCGGTGGACATAGACAGTATCATTTGGACGACAAAAATGTTCCGATGCAAGGGTTCTGTGGGGATCTACATCACTCCGCCATTTCAAACAAAGCCTGGCATATTCAAGCACAATCACACATATGTCGACATTATGATACCGCAGTCGGAAGGGGACGCCAATAGTCCTGGTGGAAGAACAGAATGGCTGTCCAAAAGATTTCCCATGTCTGCCATCCCTCATGCCTCTATTGGGCGCATATCCTCCGCTTCCTCGACGCTCAATCTTTACGTTGCCTTCCCAAGAATGATTCATCAACACCCGGTGAATGGTCGTAGAATCACCCTGATGCCAAAGGAGGTCTTGGATATCTTTTGGGATAGAGTGCTGCTGCCATCCATAGGAGACTGCACCGACGTCAGCTGGGCGCCTTACCTCAAGCACACTTTGGAGGAGGCAAGATATAAGGCGAGAGGTAGAGATGGACGCAAAGGCGGATGGGGTCCTCCAAAGACAATACCACTCTCTGATGATGACTTTAGAGATGTGCAGGACCGCATGGAAGCTCGCATACGTGATGGAGGGGGAGAGCTGAGTATGTATGGATCGTTGTTCTTTATTCTGGAGGGAAAAGGAATAAAGCTCCTGACAAAGGACGGACAGAGAGGCCGTTTCTCAGGACCAGAGGAGGCCCTGCGTCGAAATCTGTCCGACCTCGACTGGCCATATATGATGGACCGGAGGCACGGGGAGCTTCTTCTGGATGTAGGCATCTCATTCACGCCTCGCTCTCCAGATGTTCCTGTCGTCGGGGTGTGGAGATTAGATGCGTTGGAGGCATCGTTTGGTGCAGGAGGCTACAAGCGAGGCGAGATACATCACCATAACATGCTGTCCAGATATGGCGCGCTGCAGGCAGAAATGCAACAGGAAAGGATCAGCAGCAGACGCACATAGCATTCAGGAGCACCTATAATCTATACTACGAGTCGATCCGCACGAACAACAACCAGGCGAACTTTGCTTCCGACAGCGATGCATACAAGCTATCTCCTTCATACATGGCTGAATGCTTTGACATCATGAAGGTGGTCGATTGCATTGCAAGGGAAGACATACTGGTGTTAGAGATGAGTATAGGGTCAGTGGTCACGCAGCAAGGATCATGTTGGACAATATAGAAAGCAAGGTCGGTAGTTCATACTCCATTCATTCATGATTTTCATGCAAGCTCAATTACCCTGAATGCTGTTAATGCAGGCTGTTCAATATCTGCAATCAGATCCAATACTGTGGATTCCATCCACAATCTGGTTCGAGCTCATCAGGCGACGTGTACGGGAGATTCAAAGGACCCAAATAACCATCGTAAAAAAGAACCCTCCCAATCTTGGCATCCTGACTGGTCTGCTAAACCACATGCTTCGCTCGACTACATCAACCCCTATCATCTATGACTCCCATGTCCGCGAATCCCTCACCCTCCTTGAATACAGGAATGTGCTCGAGACAGCAGGGATGTTTTTCTTGCAGGACTTCGATATAAACAGCGACACGTGCCTAGAGGAGGTGCAGCAAATCGATGATGTTAATGTTTTGGGACTTATGGGAGTAACTGCAAAGGCGCAAAGGGATAGAGCAGTGGCAAGGATGGATGCATGGCGACGCAATGAGTCAGAATCAGAAGAATATCCTCTTGGTCGGACACCAACCTGGACCAGCCTCAAGACAGCCATCTCACACTCTCCAGCGACAATCATGAGAGACTGGTCATGGACATCCAGGATGTCCAACATTCAACTCACTGTTGGACGTTTGGTCGTAATGTTCACAAGGCATCTGTGGCTCATGCTGATGGAAGAAGTCATTAAAGGCACCAGACCCTACCCTAACTCACTTTATGATGCCATGAAGTGCTGGACGATAACAAGCATCGACGATACACTTGCTTCTGTCGCTTTTGAAGCCTGCAATGCTGGTTTGCATGACCATACAGGCGTAACTCCAGGTCGCTTGGGTCCCCAGTCAAGAGCCTTTGTGCACAGATGCTCGTTATTCTTTCCTGACCCTGACGCTCCCCATAAGCGCAATGCTCAGTGGTGTGGACTGTGGGAAAGAGATGGATACATCGCAGAATTCCATAGGACGATGAAGACATTGGATGGGGATCAGCAGGAATCGCTAAAGCAAGGTTTACGGGACATATTTTCGGAACTTCACTGTCTACCTTCGAGTGGTGTGAGGGTGTGGATCCAAAAGAAGGATGCCATAGTATTCGTAACAAATCCTGCATTTTATAGGATCGACCGCATTGGAAGGGGGGGCGAGAGTCAGAGGAGAGCTCCAAGAGCGCGTCGGACTATGAAGGTGATCAAGGGAAAGCGCATATTTGCGGCTGATCTCATGGACTCACAACCATTCGACGCCGATGGGAATTTGAGAAGGAAGACAGAGAGGCAAAAGCGTCGGGAGATTCACAAAAAGATGACTATGGAAAAGAGAAACAAAAGGGTACCCCCACCCCCACGTCCTCGCAAGTCCAGGCCATTCCCAATGAGTGAATCAGCACATGTGGTGACAGATGATGAAATGGATGTGGATTAGCATGTGTACATGATATTCTATTATATAGATGCACAAGTATAGCCCATAAAATGCAGATAAGTATCCTTCTCTGGGTCTCCCAGTATGCTAGATGCACAGCTGTAAACAAGATGGATAACCATGAACATGTGCACTTGACTGCGACAGTATGAAAATACCGTGATTAGGCTAGGGTAATTCATTATTGTCCTCAGCCAGGTCCAGAAGGTGATGTGGGATTCTGTTTTGACCATATTAATATACCTCAACAAATTTTTCTGATGATGTTTGGGTTGAAATTGTTTGTGCACTGTATGTTTGTAGCTCCCTATTCTCATTCACGACTTTTTCCAAGCCAATCAATTAAGTAACTCAAAAAAAGAATGGTTCAAAATCCATTAAGCCATTCTCCAGGATTCAGAAGGTTAGAATGCAGAGGTGACCTCAGTTACACTAAAATATAAACAAACATGGTCGATGAAGAACTGACATGGCTGTGAGCTTGCTTAGTGTCCTACCATCCTCTATGCCAGACACAGCCAAACCAATGGCAAATTGTGCAAGAAAACTGTCATAGAGTCTAGAGCTTCCTGCCTCTCTGACCAGATGGAGGGAGATACCGTGGTTCTTTGCAGACTGTGTGATTGACTTGCGACAAGTAACCCAAATACATCCAAGCATGTAGCGAGTTACTCGCTGTCTTGTTTATAATTGAAGACAACACTTCACAGCTTGCTGTATGGAACTGGAAACAGACAAACTCATCCTGGTGATTCAAGATGAAGCAGAGTCTGTGTTACCTGTTTCTGATATATATTCTAGACATGCTCCAGTCGTGAAATCACCACCTTCACCTTCCTCACCTCTCATCCAAACATGTAGTGAGTTCCTTGCTGTATTATTTATCACCAAAGACAAAAAACTTCAGAGCTTGTCGTGTGGAAATGGACACAGGTGAACTAATACTGGTGAGTCAAGATGAACCAATTTGAACACAGAAATCATGGTAGGATGAGGATTTGAACCTAGTTCTTCCCAATGAGTTAACCTGTTTTCCATTGCCACATAGCAAACTCTTGAGTGTTGTCCTGCCATGATTTCAGCTACCAATATGTGAACCCTATTTCTGTTTTTCCCATATCAATGCAGATGTGTTTTTCCTTTCCAAGGCTGAATGGAGAGAGGAACTTGTCATTCTACTCGATGACATCAAGGCTCAAGGTATTAATCTAAAGTGTAGTACTTACCTTCACGGTGGTTTTGATGTCTGTCTATTGTCAAATATGTATTCAAGGCGGCAAGACAGGCCAACCAATTTGCCACTGAGTTGGCCATGTCTGGCATGGAAGATGGCAGGAGAAAACACCAGCTCGCATCTGCATCACGCCTCGCATTAATCAAGTATTCCAACACCTGCTGGAGCTGGTTTCATCTCCTACCATCCTCCATGACAGCCAAATCAATGGCAAATTGGGCAAGAGAACTTTGATAGAGTCCAGAGCTTCCTGCCTGTCTCATCAGATGGAGGGAGATACAAGGTTGGGATGGGTGGGACCCATATATGGCGACATTTATAGACACCACATGCAGTGAAGACACTATTTTGCTTGTAAATGTCGGTCTTTTAAACCTTATTTTGTGTTATTAGGAACTTGCTCCGAGTGCTATTGAGCCCTATTGATGCGATAGGAACACTTTGTTTGTCAAAAAAAAGTCATGTTGGTCAGTTCAATTCAGTTGACTGGCTGCCTCTGTTCCAGTTTCATTTTTTGTGTTCATGTGATTGATCAGACTTGAAGCAGAACTTGTTTTTAATATTATAGAACCTGCTTAATGCACTGGAAACATGAGTTTGTCCATGAAAAATAACTACCTCATTGTGCTGCCTCCGCATTTTTCCTGCTTATGTAAGCAGACCTACCTTGACCAATGATTGATTTGTTCAACCTTCATATGACTTGCTTGGCTTCAAATAGACATTTCAATTGAGGGTATTGAGCCCTCTGAATACGATGGTAACACCTTTTTCATTCAAAAAAATCACATTCCAAAGTTATGAGTGTCTGTAATGCTGAGGCCCTCAACACAAGGTCTATTGCTTCAGCCTTTATATGACTCGCATGGCTCGATCTTAGGCTCATTATGAAGGGAATTGATCCATATATATTGAGCAGCAACAGAAATGCTTAATCTTGCAGAGTCTTGGTGTAAGTGTGTCCAAGTCCACCGCTTTTGCTTATGTAAGCTGTGTCGCCCCTGTCATGCTGCCTCACTCAATGATTGATTTTTTCAGCCTTCATGCGACTTGTCTGGCTTCATGTTGAACATGATATAGAGGTTATTGACCAATCTGAATGAGATGGCAGTGCTTATTTGATCCAACAAAATCAGGTTTGAGAGTCATGCTACCCCCTCCCCCCACCTACTTCACCAAGAGGCATGATTTCATGTCAATAACGATGTGAAAAGGATGTTCCCAGTGTTTAAGAGTCATATTAATAGATTGGAGATGGTTTCATAGTGTTCTGAACCAATATGGAATGTGATGTGCGAGTTTGCCTGATACCCCCCCTCAAAGATCGATTTTCTAGGCTTCCCATGTCTTGCCAGGACTGCAAAAGTATGTTTCCTGGGGGTTATTGATGCGTCTGAAGACGATGGTAAAGCTAGTTTTGTCAGGAAAAATCAGGCTGTTGAGATATGCAAGGTCCCCCTCCCCCCCAAACTCATATATATTGATATTATGTAAATACCGGTATATAAAAGAATGTTCCTACTGTTTTCCATTCATATAAATCGATTGGAAATGGTCCCAGAGTGGTTTGAGCCCATCCTGATCAACATATGCGAGTTTTTATGGTATCCCCCTCAAAGATCGATTTTTCTAGGCTTCCCATGACTTGCTTGTACTCTAGAAGTATTTTTCCGGAGTACTCTTAATGTCCCTGAACAAGATGGTAGAGCCCGATTTGTCAGGAAAAATCAGGTTCTTGAGATACAGAAGGTCCTCCTCCCCCCTCCTACTCCATATATCTGACTACACTCAGGTTTTGCCCAAAGCTGATACTGAAAATGGTGGTCCCAGTGTTTTTAAGGTGTAGAAATCGATTGAAGATGGTCCCAGACTCTCTAGAGGTCGACATTGTTGATGTTTGTTGGAGGGGTGGAAAATTCAGTATTTCGACATTATCTCCAGATCCCAACCGCCGTTTTCTTTCATTCCGAGCTCATATTAATCCTTGGAGATCCTTCTAACATATGTACCAGCCCGAGAAGAGAAAAAAGTTTTGAAAGTTGAAACCTATTTCTGTTTTGACCATATAAATGCCCACTCGTCTTATAAGGCATGTTCATCACTCTTCAAAAACAGCATTCTCTGATCAGGAATGACCATCCCCCACCTTTAGGTACCATCGTCAGATCTGGAGGCTTTCCTGGATTTTTGCTCCGGTTGCCATTTATATATGACACCGGAGGAAGTCAAGTTACCAGCTCCTGGAGGACCTCCCGTGCAGCTAATAGCCAAGCCAAGCGAAGGTCTTGCCTGTACAGCATCAGTCAAATGTACATATTGTGTGAAAGATCTGCAAACGATGCAAAAACATGGTAGGAAAACACATGCCTCCAGCCTTTTGGGGGAGGTCCAGTATCGTCCTTGCCTGGTACAGCGTATCTTCACTGCGGTAAGAAACGAGTATTTCCAAATAGGCCAGAACGTCGTACCAGGAGTTCAACCAGACTTGAAAGCCATCCTTCAAGCCACGTTCTTACCGGCACATGATGTACCTCTGGTAGTTGCCCCTGATACTGAACGAGAGAGGACTCCCCTCGTTCGATGCATGGGTTGGGACAAGTTCATGCCAGACATCCGCATGAATCCAGTTCAGAGACGGGCAGCGGACGCAATCAAGAAAAAACATTCTCCAGAGGAGCACGGCGGTCTTCTAGCTCGTCTCGCTGGAGCCATTCAAGACCACATGGCAAAAGCATCAAGGATCTTGGATGGTCACCCTCACAAGTTGACACTTTCAAAAGTCCTGTTGTACGGAGACGCCATACCTCGAGACCAGTGAGTAGTCTCAAATTAACTGTTTTTTGACTCGCCATTGACAGCCTCGGAATTCTTAGGAACAATCATTGGAGGCCTGTGTCAGACGACAACCAAGAATATCCCAACTTTATGATACAGTTGATCCGCTGCATCGTTCGAATTCACCTCGGATTCCCACCATTGCAATTCTCATTCGCGCTTTCACCTAGGCAGACCACATGTCTTGAGAACCTCCTCGCTGTCCTGGGGGATGACACTAGCACACCCCGTAAGAGAATGCTCGCCTACCATGAGCTGGCATGGTCTTTGGTTGACACTGACCCGACCCTATGCGTCACCGATCGATGGGCAAACCCAATTCAGAGAGCTGTCTGGTTGAGGGCTCTTCGTGCAGATGGAAATTTCACCGAAGCTGCCTATTTTACCCCAGACCTTGCAAAACTCAAGTACCTTTGCAATGCGACCTCCCTCCTCGAAGCTCTCTTGGATAAAGACAAGGATACTGACTCTGTTCATGCTGACGATTATGAGTGAGCTTGCCATCCAATTGATTTTGTTTCTGCTGACTGATGTTGCTCTTGCGCCAAAAGTCGTGTTGCTCGAATTCATGATCGCGTCCTACGGCTTGGTCCTCCCACCACCTTCAACTTCATCTACGAGATGCAGCAGTATGCGTCGTCGCTCGCCTTTAATCAAATGAAGGAACCAAACGTCTACGTCGATGCTGAAGTCAAATCCATCACCATTGGCACCCAAACCATGGAGATGGATAAACTGCGAGAAGGCATGCAGGTGATCCTCCGTGACTTCAAACAGCGATATTCTGCCCTCACGGACGACAACGTTGTGTTGAAGTGTGTGCCAGATCATGTCAAGGACGATCACACCAACACCACGCGAGGTTATTCATTTCTGTCAGAAGAGCCGTTCTACCAGAAGAGACACTCTCTTTTCTTCTTCTTGGTAAAATACTATAATCTTGCCATGGTCGACAACGAAGGTCGACTCTCATGGAACATTCCTGGAATCAAGGAACTGCTCAGACGCACCTCGAGGGTCTGGGAGCCTCTTTACCACTTGTTGTATATAACGACTCATATTTCCTGTCGAGGAACGCAATTCATCGATCATCAGGTGTGCAATGCAGACAGGCATCGCAACCTCTTCGTGGGGGGCAACGAGATGTTTATCCTCACAGGTTACAGCAAGAAGACTGGCATCACGGATAGAGACTCCTGCACCCCTGGGTTCGTGCCAAAGGACGTCTCTTTCTGGGTACTTGAGATGCTGGGAGGGGGATTACGAACAGCTGAAGCCATCTTGGCTGGCGTTGCATATGGCGAGGAAGCAGAGCATCTATACAGAACGTGAGTACATACTTCATCCTTGACCCCTTGATATATGTCTCACATCATGGCCTTCATTTCAGCTATCTCTGTGTCGTAGAAGGGCAGAGAATCAGCGCTGCAAAGTTTTCAGACAGCCTCCAGCAGTGGAATCAAGATTATTTCAGCTGTCGATGGGGATTGAGAGATTTTCGACAAGGCACCGTCACAATGGGGCGCGAGTTCATTGCCCCTGACAACTCTTATGATGAAGCTGACAGCATTCTCGCTGAGTCTGCAGACCACTCCACTTCCATCGACCATGGCCACTACGCAGTAGTTCAAGGAGGCGTCCCTCGACTGTCGAATAACAGCATGTGCAAGCACAGATGGCTGGGCGATCAGTGGCACAGCTTGCTTGGTCTTGGTCCCTTTCCCCCACCAGAAGCAATTCGTATAAGTAAAAGGAACGTGTCGAATGGGACCACCTTTCAGTCCATGTCCTCGCAGCTCACGAAATCCATGCAAGCATATCTAGACTCATTTTTTCGCAACGAGTTCCAGCAAACCCTGAAGGACTCGATCTCTGTTGTCCTTCAACAGCACAGCGAACAAATGGCCATCAACCATGTATGCACGACTGGATTACCATCTACCAGCCAGGCTGTGCAGCCTTTGGACTTGAATGGTAACTTGGAAGACTTGTTCCCGAAAGGTCAGTAGTACCAACGACTTCTTTCATAACATTATCTCATGTGATTTTGATTTTGTAGGTATTCTATCGCAAGGGGCTTCATCAAAAGCTGGGACTGAGTGGTTAGTTAACAGCAGTGAGTAAAGCACACGTCTTCCAAGCAATGTCTTCATGTCATTTTCTCAGATGCTGCATCCACTGCAGTGCTCTCACCAGCTGCAAGTGGTTTCATAGAATGTGGAAGCTTGCTGTCCGACTCTCCCCTGCCAGCTTCGTCGATTAAATCCATCTCCTTGTCTGGATCCATGGACGACATCCTGTGGCCAAGCAGTGATCAGATTGATGTATTGGTCACTCCTGACCGTAAAGGGAAGGGCAGGGCATACGAACCTGACCAACCTCTTCCATCCGTCGCCCAATCTGGTCCGTCCAGAAAAAGAGGCAGGGCTGATAGTATAGACGAGCTCAAGTCCAGCAGCATATCACCAATCCCAGATCGCAAGGGAAAGAGCAGGGCCTATGAACCAGGCCAGCCTCGATCATTGGCAAGTCGAATTAACGTCGATCGCATGGTCCAGCCCCAGTCCTCCATGGAATCTGAGTCCAGTACTGGTCAACTTGCAGCACCTGTGTACCGGAGCAGGAAGCACGTTGCAGAGCATGCCATCCAAATGGAAGATGAGGAAGACCAGCAACAGCAGCAATCCAGGAGCCTCAAGCGTCTCCGTAGGCATGAGAGCTACGATGAAAAGGTTGACTTGGAAGTTATCAGCATTTCGAGCAGCGACGACTGCCCCTCAGGTCGAACGGCGAGCACGAAAGACATAGACCTCTCAAGCGATGACGACGACGACTTCATAATCGATGAGACCACTGAACCTGCTTCATCACCACCCGAGGAAGTTCAGGAGATGAGAGAAAAAATTCGAGAGGCAATCAGGTACCTCAGAAAAGATCCTGCTGCAACAGAAATGAGCCGAGCACAGATGGATGCCATGATTGCAGTCATGATAGAGCCTCTGGACCTCATGATCGCCATGAAGACAGGAGGAGGAAAAAGTATGTTGTGGATGGTTCCCTCTGTGCTTGATGACGATGTGAAATGCATGGTGGTATGCCCCTTCGTCGCCTTGCTTGAAGAGCAGTACGCCAAAACCGTCGCTGCTGGCCTTCGATGCCACAACTACTCTCGCTCCAAAGATGTGCCAGACAACGTTCAGGTTCTTTTCATTCAGGTGGAACATTGTTCGTCCGATAGATTTGCTAGGTATGAACAACCATATCACCTTCCACAGCTGCTCATCTGTCTTTGACAGTCTCCTGACATCCCCCCTCGGACGAAAGTTCAAGAGGGTCTTTGTGGACGAATTTCACGACATCATCAATTGCCATCCCAATCGTACCGGCAAATGGAAAATTTTGGCAAAGCAATTCAGTAACATCAGTATGCAGATCGTCCTTTTGTCGGCCACCATACCACCTCACCGTCTGGAGCTCTTCATCAAGCCATTTGGCCTCAAGGCCAAGGACATCACCAAGATCAGGTCGTCGACGAACCGTCCAGAGATAGGAATCCATGTAGTCCCTGTCCACCCCATCGCAGCATATCAATCGTTGGGCCACCTGGTTTCCGCTTTGAAAGGACGTCTGGTTGATGAGGAACGGATGCTAGTATTTTTCTACTCCCAAGGCGACGCAGAATGCTTCGCAATTCAACACAAGTGTGCAGTCTATCACAGCAACCTGTGGGAGGCTGGAAATACTAAAGCTTACAATCTCGACCTGTGGGACAGAGGAGAGTCGAAGATCATGGCCTGCACCACTGCTTTCGCCCAGGGCATAGATAGATCCAACGTCCGATACGTGGTTATCTTCAGGCCAGCATATGGACTCATAGTCAACAACCAGATGATGGGTCGTGCGGGTCGAGATGGAAAAGAGTCTCATGTTTTCTTCGTCACTGACGATAATGCTATAGTGACCTTCCGTGGAGTGAAGACAGGGCAGGAGAACTGTCTGGAAGAATTGCACGATGTAGTCCACGGTGAAGAATGTCGACGATACACCACTATGGTCTGTATGGACGGCATAGATTTTGCAAGTCGTTGCACCGAACAGCCTGGCAGCATCCCTTGTGATGTGTGTTCTCCCGACAGCCCCACGCAACGATTTGCCATGGAGGCCATTCAAGCTCCTTTGGAACCTATGTCTGTGGAGGGCAGTACCTCCAACAACAATGCAAATGTCTTGCAGACCGCCCCTCTTCCATTTGTACAAGCGTCAGTGTTACATGAGACGTTCAAGGGTGTCATGGTAAGTTTAACGCTCAGTATCTCGTTGTGTACCATCATATTCATCATGCCATGCAGGAACCTGCACCTGTGCCTGCGCCTGCGCCTGCGCCTGCACCTGTCCAACCATCATCCCAAGGCAGTAGTGAGATGTACGACTACTCCAACTCCCAGATAACCCCATCTCAAGCTCTGGTTCTTGATGCCATGGAGGTCATTCACAAGCCTGTCAGTTGCACACTTGAACAGAACTCTGCTGAAGCTGATGGTCTACATTGTACAGCGGGCCTCCAGGTCGGAGAACGACAACCCCTTCATGGTATGACTCTATTTTGTCTGCTGTCTGACCTGTCATCGTTAATGTGTTCGTTCCACAGGCTGCATCTCAACCATGCCAATCCACCTCCTCCAGAGTGGTGTTGCCCCCTCCTTCATCCCTTCCCTGTGATTCGAGAACCTTTGCAGATAGAGCAGCTCGGGTGAATCAAGCATCCATGAGTCGTCTCGCAAAGACCTCCCGCCTCAACAAGTACATGCAGGTCTTGAAAGACCATTGCCCCCTTCACTTTGGAATGACCGCCAAACTCGTCTTGGATGCCAACGACATCAATTGCCCTTACACGAACTCCGTGCCTATGAACGAGTACTATGTCTTCAAGAGAATGTTCACCTTCGCTCCCTTCACTTACTGCTTCCAATGCTGTTTGCCCCAGTCCAAAAACCACAACGGCGAGCAACCAGCGTGCCACGCTGGGTACGTATACAAGAAAAAGTCGCCATGTCCATTCGCAGGATTCATCTTCAAGGCAGTGTTCTGCATGTGGCACGAAGAAAGGTTCAGGACTCTCCTGGTAAGGGACGTTGCTGGAGGGGCGACTCTCTCCACCTTAGATGAGTTCATTGCTTGGGCGATCGAAGAGCATGCTGAAGAAGGGAAATATAACAACTGCTTGGAGGCGTTTCTTTGGTTTTGCGGCGAGATCGAGAAGGTAAAGCCCAATTTTTTCATTTGATACATGCATGATGTGAGTCTCATTTCATTTTCATGTCGAGAGTCGCATCTCTGATGGCAGCGAACCTTGACTGCATATAGTTTGTTTCGCTGCTGAACTCACAAGTTACTAGACAATGTCGTTAACAAATGTTTTATTCCCTCGTTTGAAATCGTACTGGCTGTTTTTATGTCTGCCTGCTCATAAAAGTCGCTACTTAGATAAGATGCCAAAGTATTACTAGTAGTAGACTTAAAATTCGAAAAGATCGAGGCCCAACTGGAAATCACTGAATTTATTGTGAATGGTCCAACCCTGTCGTGAGATACCACTCCTCCCAAGCATTACAGCCTAAGAATACTCTGCCATTACAAGCTAGAGGGAGTGGTGCCACACGAAACGTACCAAAAATGAGGCCGGCAGACCAACAAGGACATGCACTACCAAAAATGACACCAAAAACGAGGCTGATGAACATACAGTAACAAAAGTAACCACATAGACGACGCTAGTGAATGAAAATTAACATGTACTGCCAAAATATAAAACAAGTTGACCAACAAAGACATGTACTACCAAAAATGACATCAGAAACGAGACAAGCAGATCAACAAGGTACCCCAAATGACACGACAAATGAGAAAAGAAAACTAACAAGACATGTACTATTAAAACTAACATAAAAACTGAGGCTGGCAGACCAACAAGGACATGCATAGTCAAAACTGACACGAAAAATGAAGCTGGCAGACCAACAAAGATATGCAAAGCCAGAACCAAAAGAAAACTCCAGCAGCTACTCCTCCCAGGCGTTACAGCCCAAGAATACTCAGTCATTACTGACAAAAGGGAGTAGTGCCCCACCTTACATGACTCTTGAGTTACACAAGATGTACCTCCCTTTACAGAGAGGCCCGTGTCAGATGGTTGGATGTGGTGAGAGTGGAGAGAAGAGAAGTGAAAACGAAACAAATACAACAAATACGAATAAATGTCGAAGCTACCCATACAATATATGATCTTTGAAGATTGCTGTATTGAAACTATCTGAATAAATGTTTGTTATCCATGATATACCATGTCAAGGTGCTATCAGAGTAAGATGTAACAAATGAGCATCATATGCTGTGAGGGTAGGAAGTAGTTTAGATATATCAAATTTTCGCATTTGTGCCCATTTTAATACAGCTCTCTAGGTGTCTGTTGATAACTGACCAGTGAGTGCATATTTATCTTTCTCTCTGACTCATTCTGAGATCTGTCTTCTTATTTTCCCTCCTTCAATGTTCGCATTTTTGCCTCTTAGGAATCTCTTTTTCGATTCTCGTTTCAATCCTTAGGCTCCTTTCATTTTCGCATTTTTGCCTTCCTCTCTAGCTATCACTCTCTCTTTCTCTCATTCCTTCCGTTATTTTCGCATTTTCGTCTTTCCCTTGCTCACATTCATCCTATCATTTTCGCATTTTACCTGTCTCTAGCCCTGAGTTCCTCCATTGCTGTAACATTTTACCTCTCTTTTGTTGTCATTCCTTCTTTCATTTTCGCATTTTCGCCTCTTTTTTGCTCTAATCCTCCTTCTGTTTTCGCATTTTCATCTTTCATGTTGTCTCATTCCTCCTGTCATTGTTACAGTTTCCCCATCTCTCTAGCTCTCATTCCTTCTTTTATTTTTGTGTTGTATTTCCTTTTGATATCAATCCTCTTGTCATTTTACCTCTCTCTAGCTCTCATTTCTTGTTTTATTTTCGCATTTTGGCCTTTCTCAGCAGCTCTCATCCCTCCTTTCAGTTTCACACTTGATATTTCGCATTTTTGGCTCTCTTGCTCTTTCTCGCTCTCATTCCTTTTGTTTTCTTGTTCTATTGTCTTTTGACGTCATTCCTCATGTTATTTTCTCATTTTACATCTCTGTAGATCTCATTTGTTGTTTCATTTTCGCACTTGGCCTTTATTGTCGGCTCTGATTCCTTCTTTCAGCTTCACACTTCATTGCATTTTACCAATCTTAGATATATAGTCAGTAGTCTACAAGTGTGTATGAGACGGTTTAAATCATGATTGACTGATACTATCTGAAGCCAGCTGGAGAAAGGGAAGGCTCAGCAAACACCAGCAGTGACGTCTTGGGAATTGGAGCATCCCACTGCTGGTCAGTATTGATATCAACTGAAATGATGCTTACCTCGCATTTGACACGAGGGATGGAGGGATGATTTCCTTTTGAGAACAGGGACGCAGGGACGGTTGCCTTTTGAGAGCAGGGACGCAGGGATGGTTTCCTTTTGAGAGCAGGGACGGTTTCCTTTTAAGAACAGGGACGCAGGGACGGTTGCCTTTTGAGAGCAGGGACGCAGGGATTGTTGCGCACCGTGGGAACAAAAGGAAGCAGGGACGCAGGGATGGTTACATACCTCTGAAATGAAAAACGGAAGGTGTGAGGTAAGGGATGACCATTTCCGACCAAAAATGTCGCCCATGGGAAAAAAAGGAAGCAGGGACGCCCCATATAAGGAAGGAGCAGGGACGGGGACGGTTTACACCCCTGCAAACTGAGAAACAGATAGATAGTGAAGGTGGGCCGTTGCATCGGATCAAAGAGAGAGGGTGGCTCAGTCATGATGGTGGAGGGTGGCGGCATCATGGCGATATCTACATCCTGCGACTCGATGTCATTCAACGCTTCCTCCTGGTCGAGTATATTGGCTTCATCATAACTGATGCCATCTGGGAGGTGAGAAGAGGTAGCGTGACTCGGAGCCCCTACCAGCGCAGCGTTGTCAGCAGGCATGCGGGTGTAGAAAGCACGGCTTCCACGTGTATTTGGCGATGGTAGGAGTTCCTTCATTGCTTCATAGTGGGGCCAGCCTTTATTCTTAAACTTCCTTGCAGTGATAGGAGCCTGGATCATATTAGTAGTTGCCAGTGGTAGCGGAGTATTGACAGCACTCACTTTCGATGAGCCCATGTAGTCAGTCCATACCGTCTCAGATTCAGCTGTGATGTTGGCGCCATGCTCCAGACTGTACTCCCATCCAGAATAGGTCGCAATTGAGTCTACAACACCAAACGTGCTACGGAGCTGGAGGTCTTATTAGTATAGACTCTAGTACTGGTGCAACATGATGAGAACTTACCCGCACCCATTTCGATTGGCATGCATCAATTGTCTTCAGCGCACCTTGTGTGGTATGTTTAGATGTCTCATTAGAAGCAGAGGTCCAGAAGGTCTTGTCAAAGTTCATTCCGTTACCACCCTTAGCTCGGTGGGTAGCGATGTATTGGATGAGGTGTATTTCATCGTCCAGTGTCCAGAAACATCGGTCCTTGGTTTCAGGGTCCTGACACTCCGGTGCGCTCTTCTTTCCACGTACCATGGTGCTCTTTGAACGTCCACGGTGGCTGAGACTTGAACGAGTCAATCTAGTGTTAGATCGCGTAGCTGGCATGTTATCGATGGGCTGATATGCTTTGTCACATATGTCACACTGACCCCCAAACATTACAAAGCACCATATGTTTGAAATTTGAAAATTCGTGGCAAAATTTGTGTATCCGAACAGACCCTAAAGGTCTGAAGGATCGTTTTCAACTGTTTTCCAGGTGCGTGTCGTCTCATCATTTTATCGGATACAGCCTAACATTCACGATATCACATGCGAACGAGTTCTCTGGAAAGTGTCCACCAAAGTACCTTAAGTCCTATTCGTCACAGAGGATCCAAAGATGCGAATTCATCTCACACCACATGCTGCGGATCCTGACTAGGCGACTTACCACTGGAGCTCGCCACCAGTTTTTACATCATTGCACCCTGCAATGAAATCCCTTGCTTCCGTTTGCAGTGTTGGATAAGCCGCCATTGCACAAATAGGACTGGCTGGTACGGCGTTGTTTGTTATGAGGGAATAGTTATATGTAAATTGTGCCACCAATAAAAGATCGTTTATCGTTTATACTGATAGGCCGAAAATTCACCTGTGACTCCCACATAACGGCTGTAGTTACAGGTGATAATAACTGGGGTTCGCACCTCTAACACGAGGCAAATACTGTGTCACTAGGGAAGATTTCTGTCATACTGAAAGGATCTTAGCTCTGACTCCGTACAAGATGGGAGTGTCGCGAGGCTCGCTGCTCATACAGCCTTCCAAGACCCAAACACTCCAGAGGGAGCGCCGCCTCGGGAATCCATCGAGCTGAGGACCCTGGTGTTCTATGATTAGAGCACGTTTGTTTCGAGTGGCGTTAAGAATTAACAATGGGGTCGTACCGTATTTCGTTGTTGTCTGTATTATGCGTAGCCGTACTTTACCAATTTTACTCTGAGAAATTTTGCACGATCCTCGTGGACCATGACTACCATGACAAAGATGCATGTGACACGGAGAGTGGCGTCAAGCCAGCGGTCCGAATCGAGGACCCGATTACGTGCTGATCCGTTGGTGGGCGTTAAGAGGAGTTACCAGGTTCGGCCGTCGACTCTCGAGAGTAGTTTAACTTTGGAGGGTAACCTACACAGTTGGGATCAGGATTGGGGTGGCATTGGTTAGATCTAGTGTAGAAAACCGGTTAGCGGGTGATGAGACGCTGTAGGCGTTGGTTTCTAAGGTCCAAGTCGAGGTGCCACTTGGTCGCCCGCGGCCTGAGCCACGAAGCGACTCGCGTAATGAGGATTTACCCAAGGCTGCGTCATTGATACGGCCTTGGGTCGCCTTAAGTCTCAGTCAATGGAGCTGACCAGAAGTTCAAATCAAGTAGAATTTTTACTGAAGCTGGACATGCAACAGCCGTGCCACGTCCGTAGCGGGCACGACCAGCAGAAATCAGGCAGCGGACGCGAGGTAACAGAGCGAAACAGTTTGTTCTTTACTAGCAACATGCAAACAGCATAAGTGAATTTCCAGATTGCAAAGAGTGGAGCGCTGCGAAGAGATGGATTCAGAAACGGTTCAAACCAATGAGAATTTCATGCGGAAGAACTCACAGATAATCAATTATATCCCTGACACGATATGACCCTAGTAACTGCAGGTATTGATACAAGGGTCGTGATTGATCACGCTCCTGCAGGTTCTGCCGAAAATTGTGATTATGCCATTCGACAGCAATAACAATTCTGCCAGATCGATCAGAAGCATGCCCATAAGTATATGCATACAGAATATAAAAGCTGGCCGTCGTCTTACAGCTTTCCCCCATCCTCAGAGATATCATTCGAAATCACCCTCAGAAGATTCCATATCACCTCGCACATAAAATGCATTTCTCCTTCCTCGCCGTTGTTACTTTTTTGACAGCGTCTATGTCTGTCAGTGCATGTGGCAAAACAGCGTGCTCAACAAGTGCAGACTGCTGCAAGAACTATCTTTGTATACAACCACCTGGGGTGAGTATGAACAGGTCGCTTCCAGGATTCAATCACATGACTCACCTGCGGGCCTTAGCAATCAGCGTACTGCCAACACCCCTAAAGTTGAGCCGGCAGCCCTAGTGGTGCATCGCGACAGTGAGTCATGTTCTGCTTTCGCGTTGGTATCGTGGTTGATGGTGCAATACCTAGTTCGAAGTCAATCAGTGCAGTTGCTTGTGGATAAATTTTCGTGCTGCTCGAGCAATGTAAATGTTTGGACTTGTCTAAAATGATCAACTGCGCCTAGTCTTGCTCGCGGTCCACTAAGCTTGAGTTCGAGAGGCTGTCGAAATGAACGATAGTTGCCATTGATGATTAATATTGGAAGGCCATACGAAGATGGAACGCACTGCGCTGATAATTCCCTACAATCTTGAATCTGTTCGTCCAAGGTTGGCCTTGAAGGCTAGATCACAGATCTCCATCTCTGTGTAATCAAAAGTATCGGCACAAGTCAAGCCACCGTAGCAGTTTGCAAGGTTAATTCTCAGTCGATTTGGCAGAATTGATATCGCTGTCAGATGGTAGAAATTTCATCGGGAAAACTGTCCTACACAAAAAGTACTTTCAGATTGCTGTAAAGATTTACAGCATACTCTGGGGTAGATAAGCACAGTGACTTGGATAGCAAGGAAGAACTGCAGTAGAACTTACTCGTTTAGAGATCGTCGGGAAAGCGGATCGTCTCTATGAAATTTCCACGCGAGCTTGACACTAGTAAGATACCAAGGAGCCAATTCAAGAGATATCGCGTTGCCACGGCGCGCATTAGGTTGTTTAGTCTGACGCACACAACAGATGCATGTTTTGGGGCTGACTGCCCTTTACTGCCTGTGTATAAAAGCGAAGCAATAAATTTCAGTTCAATAACAAGGAGCATCATCCAGACCTATCCTCAAGTGCCGCTATGAAGTTCATCTCGCTCACTACTATGATTATATCTGTCGCAGTGCTGGCGAAGATTGTTACAGCATCCGACCACACCGGCCTGCCATGCAGCCCGATTGGTGAATATCTTCAAGATACCCGTGTTCTGATCTCAGACCACATACTTACGGGTGCTTCCAGAACAGTATTGGTGCGGAACGCTCGCAGATTATAACAATAACTTTCCGTAGTTGTATTTCTGTCATATACCGTCATCAGCGGAGGAGTAGGTCCCGGTGGGTCCTACAGCTGCACATAAGGGAAAGGGTGAGCCTACTTCTTGCTTGCCATGTTTATAATATCATAATGATACAGCACAGCTGTCTCCGTAATTAATGGTACTGGCTGGCGCTGGGGGAATAGCCATGAGGGTTTGAAAGATGTTGTTGAGGCTCAAGAACGTATTCAAATAAGTTTATGACTCCACGTTCAGCTGCGATATCCACATCAGTCTGACTTTGGGCTACAACTATGAGCAACGTGAAAATCTCACCCGTCATTGATTGTTTTGGCTTCTCCACATATATACCTTCAGCCATTTACCACTGCCAACACAACGGTGATTCCACAAAAGACTCTTAGGAAACTGAACTAAGAAGATGCGAAAAGCGGATCATCGTCTTGACACGAGCTTTACGTCAGCCAGTTCTCATGGAGCCACGTCTAGAGATATCGCATTGCCACAGCGCGGCATTGTGTTGCTTCGTCAGATGCACAGTAGGTGCATGTTTTTGGGTTGACTGCCCTTTACTGCCTGTGTATAACTTTCAGTTCAATAAAAATAGCTTCATCTCACTCACCACTACGATAATGTCCGCCGCAGTACTGCGGGGATCGTTATAGCACAAGACCCCAATGGAGGGCCATGCGCCCAGACTGGTGAATACCTTCAGCATAGCCGTATTTCGATGTTAGATAGATACCGCGTACTTATGAGTGCCTGCAGGAAAGTATGACTGTGGAACGCTCGCGGATTGCAACGGGGGTTGTCAACTTGAATGATGTCGTAGCGGTACGTTACCGTGACAGCTGTCTCCGTGACTGGTGGTCATGGCGCTTGTTACCTTGCGAAGCGAGGTCAGTTCTACATGGACAATTTTATGTGATTTCCAAATAATAGTAAACATAGTGACGCATTAAAACGTGATACAATAAGATAAGATACATAAATAACATCAAAACACGTGCAAATTGACCAAACAAATGAAAACAACCCGCCGCTCTGCATCAAGAATCGTAACCACGCAAAAATAAGCTGCGATGCAAAAATCGTACCCAGGACCCTTACGGTCGCTCGAGGTTTGGGCCAAACCTGGGTCTGATAACCAATCTGCAGTAATACGCTCCCATCAAAAAATAAGGTGCCTTCAGTGTCCGCTAGAAATAAGTAATGTATAGTTTTATGAGGGTTGACGTTGACGTTGAACGTTGAAGCTTCGAAGTTCAAAGTGCTTGGCGAAGCTTGATCGGTCTGAGGGTTATTTCTCCCATCTGACGCTTCGATTATTGACCTACTCTTTCTGTCGCCCACTTCTGTAGAGTGTCCGTCGATGTCTAAGTGAAAGCTGATTTCGGAACGCTGGATCCATTTGTAAAAATTTCCATTAGCACAAACGCAATCTTCATTGCTTGTATGGCTTCTCCTACACAATTTGCATAAAGGCATTCCCTCGCAACAAACAACGCTGTACAGCCTCCAGCCGATCCAATCTGTGCAATGGCGGATTGATGGCTCTCATCCGACACTGCAAACGGAAGTAAGGGATTTCATAGTAGGGTACAATGATGTAAAAACCTATGGCGAAACCAGTAATGTCGGGAAGGGTCACGACGCTCCAGCGGTAAGTCAGGATCGGCAGCATGCGGTGAGATGCCTCGTATCTTTGAATGTTCTATGGCGAACAGGACTCAGCCTAGAGTACCTTGGTGGACACTTTCCAGAGAACCCCGTTCGCATGTGATATTGTGAATCTCAGGCCGTATCCGATAAAATGATCAGACGACACGCACCTGAAGTAGCGACCAATCGAAAGCGATCCTTCAGGCTGATTTGACCTCTACGGTTGCTCGAGGGCGTTTGGGCCAAACCTGGGCCTGATAACCAATCTGCTCCCATCAAAAAATAAGGCGCCTTCAGTGTTCGCCAGAAATAAGTACATGTGGATAGTTTATGAGGGTTAACGTTGAACGTTGAAGTTCAAAGTGCTTGGCGAAGTTTGATCGGTCTTATTAAATATTCCTTATCGGCCCTATAGTAACTGTCCCAAGGTCATTCAATTGGGCAAAATCGCTAAAAACTTGAGTAGCTAAGTTAAGCCTCAGTCTCAACCTATGGCAAGTCCGTCTTCATCATGTTCGCCCTCTTCATCAGCGGTAACCATCCCAATACCTGGAAAGTCGATTTTGAAGCGCCCTCCACCTACGCAAACTGGTATATTCTCTCGAATCAAGGGTTTTCTGCCAACACAATCTCCCGCTTTTGCTAGCGACGACATCAAACCTCTCAAGCGTGCCCATTTTATACTTCCTCAACTCGTCACAGTTTACCCTATATCCTCTACCAACCCTCCGTCAACACCGACGCTCAAAGATGAGAAGCGGGCAATTGAAGAGAGAGAAGCAGAGAGACGCAGCAGAGTTGTCAGAGGCAACTCTATTGGTCCGAACGAAACGGAAGATTGGTGGAATTTGGACAAGGTGGAATCGTTCTACAGAGAATGTTGCGCATCGAGAGAGGAAGAACCAGACCCCGCAATTTCGGCTGCCTTTAAGGTGACAAAATTTACTTGTGGGTTCTGAGAACACATCAAGCTAATCTCGAATGCGGCTGCACTCAACAGCGCGCATCAGGCACAAATCCTCGGTCCGTTGATCTGTCTGGTGTACAATTGACACCTACATCTGCCGCAATCCTCTCTGACGTGTTTACGATCGAATGGGGTCTTCGAAAACTCACCCTTCGAGAATGTGATTTGGATGACTATGTAACTTGATTCTACCCTGGTTGCCTCTGCTGTGCTCACCATAACCTAGAAATTGAAACTTATGCTTCACGCGCTGCTCATACCTGGCACCCTCGTTTTTCTGTCCGTCGCGTCAAACCGTCGCCTAAAGACACCTGCGTTCAAAGTCCTTGGTTTTTATGCCTCACAAGTGCGTCATTTTCGCAGGTAATAATGCACCTGCTCATATTTCATTGTCAGGCAAAAAATCTACAATTCCTCGACCTCTCACAAACAAATCTAGACAAGAAGGCAGTAGATTATATAGTAGTCTCATTGACAACAGCACCTGAGCCTGGTTTAATCTCTCTCCGTCTAGATGATTGTTCGCTCAGAGTGCCAGCGCTGGACGTTCTTGGTAAGCTGTCAACTACCCTTAGTCCAATTTCCACTAAGTGTGGCAGCCCGAGTCATTCGTACTTCATCTCTTCGCAACATCTCTTTGCGACATAATCGCATCAATGCAACAGGAGCTGTCGCGCTTGCTCTCATGATCCGAGATTACCCAGACGTGGTCCCTAGTACTCCCAACTCATCTACCTTTCCTTCACAAGGAGGCATCATCTCTTCGCCGCCTTCCTCCCCAATCCCCCCTTTCACCCATCTACCTCCTCCGTCACCTGTTACCCGTACAGGACCCGTACTGCCTCCTCCACGTCACCCATCGTCCATGCCTCCTCAAACAACTTACACACCATATGTACCTCGTAATCGCCGAGGTGCTGCAACAGCACAACCTCCCCCGCTCTCTGCTTCTGGTCAGCCCGTCCCCATCATCACATCAAATCCACAGGGTGGTGTCACCACCCGTCATCTTGCACCAAATTCTGGGCATCAACGGTCAGAGGGCGGACTCCATCCCAATGGTACGGCCCACAGGCACGATGATGGCCCAAGCGCTGCACTGCTGGACAAGGTGCGCGCTCTCGATGCATTGCCAAGACTCGGAGCTCTCCGCACATTGGATTTACGAGGCAACGACCTTCGTGTAAGTATTTTTTTAAAATATAGTATTGCCTGTTGATGACGTTGGCGTAGAATGGGGTTACTTATCTGGCACAAGTACTCAAACGAAATAGAACCCTTAAGGTCCTGAACTTGAGCGAAAACAAGCTGGATGTTCAGTGCTTGGTGGCAATTGCCGAGGCACTGGTAAGCGCTGAGAGTCTCTTTGGTCGTCAGTTTTAACAGGAACTTCTAGAAATACAATCATTGCTTAGAAACTTTGGATCTCAGTCGGAATCCCTGCTCCGGTCCTGGTCTCGAAGGCGTGCGTTGATAACTCGCTGCACATGGTGCCTAGACTGAACAATGTTTAGATCCAATCACTCCGAACGGCTTTCACATTAAATAATGCTCTCAAGCGCCTATTCCTCTCCTCTACCACCATGACATCAACGGGCGCTATCGCACTCGCAGAATTTCTTCCCGAATCAAACTCATTGCTCCACCTTGATCTCACGGACAATAACTTGAACATCGCTGCCATTATGGCTCTGAGCTCGGGACTCAAGGCTAATCACACGATGCGATGTCTCGACGTCAATATACCTCCAGATGACGAGGAATTTGCCAAGTGAGTGTCTAGTGATCTGTACAGTACGTTTCATGAATATGACCTCACACAGAATGTGTCGTGAAATTCTCAACACTTGTATCCGGAATACGGAGGAAGCAGAAAAAGCGGCACATGTTTCTGATGGACTTCGTAGTCCGGCGAGCAACAAAGGGTTTGGTAAGGGTGTGTGGAACATGATCCAGGAAAGTGAACTAGCCAAATCAATAGGTCAAGGTGGCGGGCTCAAGGTAGGTGTATGTTCCCCGTATATGATCAGCCTACTCACGATTCTGAAGGGTAATGATGAGGTTATATCAAGTGCATACACGCTGCTGTCTCAAGTCGAGAACTCGGTGAATAGCCCAAAGTCTATTTCGGTCGCATCTTCTGGCGTATCCTCCTCGACCGTTGTGTCACCCGCGGACCAAGACCTCGTTCAGCAAGCCAAGGCTATTGTCGACGAAATCACAGAAAAAGTGCAGACTACGACAGACATCGTCCTGCTAGAAGAGCTCCTGGGCCTCTGCGATAAACTGAACAGTGCTATCACACAGTTGTCATCCGCTCCTTCAAGTATATCGCTTCTTCACGGTCTTGGGTTAAATATTCCAAGCGCAGTGATCAGTCCCGCTAACGGGGATGCTTCACATGGGAACCCCGCAGATCTGTCAGAAGATGATACACCACTAACTCCGAAGGTAGATAAAGGAAAAGGTCGAGCAGAACCAGAACCGGAGGAGCCGGAGAAAGTGTTGAGTCCCACTTTCATGATAACCGAATCGGAGGACGAGGATGAAGACGACAACAGACTCTTAGGCGAGGAAGACCAAATTAGCGTCCCTTCCCCTGTGGTTAGGTGGGTCACCATACGAGCAAAGTATCTACATACCCTGATGATGTCCAAAGGTCGAAAAGTTGGGTTGAAGAAGAAGGGGAAATCTTCCGAAAAGGTGCTGTCCTTCTCGGACCTGAAGAGATGGAGGGAGAGTACGCTGGCGAAGACCTCCGTCGTGAGGTGAGTATATTGGTTATCTAGTTTCGCGATTTTTTCGAACACTGTTGTAGTTGTTGGAGGCTATGGTCGAACGGCCTCCTCCTCGCGGAATAATCGATGAATTTGGTATGGACCTGGACGTGATTGTACCTGAAATAGCTTCTCCTCCCCCTGGGGAAGCTCTGCGGCCTC